CGGGAAGATAAATGTTACTTTGGGAATTGTGTTTAATTACAAATAATCTAGGAGCTGCACCCGGTCTCTAGGTTTAACCACACTTATACATCATTGTACAAGGTTTACAAATGGGTGATATTTGTGAAAGGGGATACAGTTCACTTTTCCAAAATCAGGGGGCAATCTAGGATGCCCCCACTTGGGGTTTGTCTCAGAGATAACATAGACCAGAAAACACTGGTAACAAAAAGTGTGGGGCCTCAGAGTACTTGAAAGCTTAAGAAATCTTTCTCCAGTGAAGTTTATCTTCAGATCAATTTTATTAAAATGAAAACAAACCAGTCTTTGTTGAGTCTTTAAAATCTCTTCCGTAAAACCATTTTTGTAGAGAGCATTTCTGAATTCACATGTTCAATTTTCTTTTCTCTTTTTCTCATAGTCCTCTAGATTTTCACTGAAATAGCCCAATGGTTATTTTTTACAGTTCCTCTTGTAACTCAGCTGCGTATCTTTGTGTGTCTGATTCCTTGCTTCTACGGTAGCTCAATTAGTGTTGTTTGTGTGTGTGCTTGCTTTTTTTCTAATAGTCTTATTAACAAGAAAAAAGGTGGCGAACAGGTTATTCTCTTAACCTGACCTGGCTGTAAGAGTAAGATGAGCAGCACTTGAACAGATGTCCCCATTTAAGCCGTTCTTTTCCCACATGCCTGCTGGATATTGCAGGCGCGCAGGAAGCTCGCTTCAAACCTGGCCCATTTCAGGCCATAATGGCCACGTTATTTCGGCCCAGTGAACACGAACAAAATCGCGTGCTTTAGAATCATTCGACTCTGAGTCCAGGAAAAGTAGGGGGTGTGGTGGCAGTGGGGGTGGCTAGGGAGGGGTGTGTACGCAGGGGAGGTGGGGTGGGGAGCCCATTTCATCTTGGATCTCAGGAAGAGAACTTGCTCAAAAGAATTTTTCCCTAGCAAATATGGTATAATTTACAGCGCAACTTAATAATCCGAGGGGCAATGCAAAAGCCCTTTGCGTTGTAAACTGCTTCTAATTACCTGCCAGAGCAATTAGCTGACTATCACGAAGAAATTAGATCGCTCAATGTAGCATAAATAATGCGAATAATTTTGTAAGAAGAATGGAAAGCGAGACCTGGTGTTTCTTTATAAGGAAATAACACCTCGTACTGTACGAACCCTCCATGAACACATATTAATGTCTAGGCATGCATGGCAATGAGTCCGAGCAGGAAGCCTCTGGCTGCGGTTCAGCACACTTTCCGTTTACGTATGCGGGGTGAAAGTCGGCTTCCAGGCGTTCGATCTCCAGCCTTCCAGCTCACAGTAATTAACACATAGAGACTTCAATGGGAAAACCTGTTTTCCAGATGATTTTTACAATGCAGCTTTATGTCTCATTTGGCAGTTTAAATAGCTGGAGTTGTTTTCTGGCTTCATCTCTACTATCATCTGTTGAGCATATTTTGGTTAGAATACTGAATCTCACCCAAAACTTGGGTGCAGGCTTTCTCTTTTTTTTTTTTTTCCTAAGAAGTAGGGCTATCAGAAGTCACTCTGAGGCCACTAGGGCAAAGAATTCTTGTGAAGCCGTGAAAGAGACCTGCTTTCCTGAATGAGATTGCCGGGTATATTAGAATATTTTGATGTGCTTCATTTTAACTTTTTATTTAAGTCTACCTCAGTCATATTGTTATGTATGTGTATAATTTCTCTTGATTGTTTCCTATAGGAGATTTATATGGTGAGTTCACACATTACTAAGCAAAAGATTTTAAGTCAAGGGAAAACCTAATTTGGGAGGAAAGCTGACCGTGTATTTACGTGTCTGATAACAAACACTATCAAGCTCTTCGAAATTTACTGTGTTTGTAAATCACAAATGAGCAGACAGATTCCAAAGATGTTTGGAAGTCGAATACCTATGCGAACACCTACACACACACACACACACACACACACACACACACGCTTTCCAGTGCCGCCGAAGTGAAGGGAGTCACGGGCCCCTTTCCCTGGTGAAAAAGATGGGTCACACGCTTGGGTCAAGTTGAATCAGTCTGGAGAGCTTCCGTGGTAATCGAACTGGACGTCCGCCCTGGTCACTGCAAAGGGTAGCTTGTGAATCCGGGGGTAGCCTGGTCGCGCAGTCCTCAGGGTGTGTTCCGCCCCCGCAGACCCTAGTGGCTTAGGGCTAGCGCCGCCACACCCCCATACCCCACTCATCCCTACACATCGAAAGCTTCCGCCCAGGTCATTGGTGACCGTTTCTCACGCCAGTTTTCACTGAATTTTGCAAGACTTCTCAATGGCCTTGGCCAGACCTGCTGGCCTGCCCACTTTTCTGCTTCTGAGAAGACAGACTGGCTGGTGATTGGGGAGTTCTAGATGGAAATACAAGGAACCTCCATGATTAACTGAGTCAACGCAGTCTACAAATTGAGTTACTGCTGCTTATGGCTTCACGTCTATGCAGTCCTCCCTCTTAAATAGATGGGCGCTAGCCACCTTAGGCTCCTTTCCTGGAGCTCAGGACTGCGGGGTAAGCGGGGAGGATATAAGGGTACTAAGAGGGGGACCTACTTAGCACACACCTTAGAAGGTGTTCGAAATAAAATATCTACATCAGCTCTAGTAAAGTCGTGACGTGATGCGCTAAACTTTTGAGTTCAAGGGCGTCTACCATACCCGGTGCGAAGTTCCCCTTTCAAATCCTTAACAGAAACGCCCTTCTAGACTGAACAGGGTCACGTTTTCATTTAAGGCTTGACAAGTATTGACTTCTGTACTCAGCAGCGGTTACTTTTCAAGAGGAAATAAAACCTTGAATCTAGCTTATGGATTCTGTAAAAGTAATAAAGTTTGCTCAGATACTGACAACGCAATTTTCCACAATCGCCTCACCGGAACAAAGCAACTTACGGAATTTCATTTTGCAGCTCGGTTTCTTTGGAGCTCTTAGCACCACCCCTCCCCCAACGTCACTATGAAGAGTCTCCCTCTTAAATAACAAGGACCTTGTCGGCCACTAAAGAAGGCTGCTGCCCCATTTCAGTTCAAAACAAGAGCAGGACTGCAGGGTTTAGAGAGTGGGTGAGTGAGGCTCGAGCTTTTTCCTCTTGAAGTAGCTGCACTAACTCGCAATAGCCAATGTAGTCCTTCTTTCCTTATCTGTTGTCTTTAAAGGTTTCTTTCTAAAAAATTCTCGCAGCATTTCTTAAGATGAGAGAAACTGAACTGATTGTTATGTCTGTAATTGTTCTAAAAACATCTTCCAAAGGGGCCTCATAAGACAAACACATAGCTCTTTGATCCAACACTGGAGAGAGCAAACATTGGAAGGACGGAAGCCCACTACTTTGGAGTCTACACTCTGCATTTACAGCCCTGAGATGGAATGTCCATTACCTTCAAAGGGGCAGCTATTAACGGCAGAACGTCCTCATTTTTCTGTAGATGGTACTCTTTTCAAGATTACACCTGTCCTAATATAGGCACAATCTCCTCCTCATCCCACCTCATCCTCCTGAAGCAGGAACACACACACAAATTGCTGCAAATTGAAATGATTTGACAAGTACTGTCCAAAATCAGTTTATTTGAAGTTTTCTGGATTAAAGTGTTGGAAGAACTAAGGAATCCACTTCAAAACTCTTTCTGCTCTGCTTCAAGAAGCAGCTTAGAGAACAAAAGGAAGACAAAAGTGATTTCCACAATTCCGGCATACTTACCCATTGGAACTCTAAGAAGTGTGTAGCAAACTAATAAAAGCCAAAGTCAAACCAGAAGCAGCAGTGTTTGTTGTTGCTGAAAGACACCCCGCACTACTGACTATTGACTGACTGGTATTAGGGCATTAAAGTGTTTTGCCCAATTTCAGTGCTTTAACAGATTTTAGCATGGATATATACAACTAGTTTTGCTCGGTGATGCTGCTGTTTGACCAACCGAGTCAAAACGACTCTTTTTCATAAGCGTCGTCGGTAATTCGAATTTCCTTCTCCTTAGGTACTAGGAATTAAGGACCGAAATTTCAAACCGGCCAGAAATTGTAGGAAATCTGCGGGAGAAAATTAAAGTCAACCCAGTGCTGACTTTAAAAAGGCCTGACATAAAAAAGAAAAGAAAAGAAAAAAAAGAAAAAGGCCCGATATGTACAAGTTCCTAACTCAGCTGCTGGGGAGACCCTTGCGGACAGACGGTTCCAGAATCACTTTACGCACCAGCAGCCACCACGCTCTGCGACAGGCAAGACTCGCGAGGCCGCGGTCGCCGCGCGAAGACGCGAATATCCGCGAGTTCCCGCGATTAGTTGTCCCGGCACCTCAGCGGCGCTCCCCCTTCTTTTGCCCTCCAGGGTGTATCGGTGGTCTCCTGTCCCTTCACTGTGCTATGCCATCTAAGAGGTCAGGAGACTGGCAAGGAAAACTCAAGGCTGTAGCCGACGGGTGGGGTAGGGGGATTAGAAAGACTAGGAGAGGCTCTCCCTTCACATCCGCCTTCCACGGTGGTAACCGCCCAGCGCTCTCCTGGAGCTGCAGCGCCCCAAGAAGTCACTTAGTGTCCTGTCCTTGGGATTCTAGATAAAAGGTGAGTGGACAAGGTTCCCCACCCGTCTCAGGTCTGGATGAAACGGGCGACGGTTGTCTGGAAGGCGGTCACAGAGACCCTCCAAACGAGGGCCCGTCGGGCCATCCCGCAGTTTCCCAGGGCGCGGAGCCGGGACCTCCGACAGCACGGCGGAGAGTTTCCGCACCCAGCAGTCACAATATTTGCACAACCCTTTCTTCTCTCCCCTCGCCCTACCCAGACCTCGACAGCCGCCCGGCCCCAGGCCCGGCGCGCAGGCCCGCGTCGCCTCGCACCTCCCGGTCTCGGGCGAAAGCCGCCCGCCCGCGCGGTCCGGACGGCGGCGGCGGAAGGCGGAGGCGCGGGCGCTGGGCTCCGCCGCGGCCCGGCCCAGCCCCGCCCCGCCCCGCCCCACCCTCCGGCCCTCCCCTCCGCTTAGCCGCGCTCTCCCGCCGAGCGCCGCCGCCGGCTCCGCGCTCTGTCCCGCTCGACCGCCGGCGGCCGCCGCGTTCCCCGGCCATGAAGGCCGCGTCGACTCCCGCCAAGGGGGAGGCGCCACCCCGCCCCGGGGCGGGCGTTCCGCGAGAACCCCGGCCGGCCACAAAAGCCCCTTTTCGCGGCCCGGGCGGGACGGGAGTCGGGTGTGCGGCGGCGGCTCCCCACCCCTGCACTCAGCCGCCCGCCTCGCTCCTCCTCCTTCCCTCCCCGGTCCCTCCTCCTCTCCCGCCCCCCGAGGGTTCGCACACCCCGCGGGCGGGAAGGTGCCGCCCTCGGGGCGGACAAAGGGGCAGGCCGGGCGGAAGGGGGCTGCGGCCGGCACGCGCGGCCGCGGGAGGGGCTCGCGAGTCCAGGGCTGTCGACCTGACTCCCACTGGGCGGCCGGCGCGGCCTTGGGGCGGGCGGTGAGGCCGGGGGGCGGGGTGCCTGCCCCACTCCCCCCGCCCCACCCCCGGGACCGCGGGGGGCGTGTGTGCGGAAGCGGGTCGCGGACAGGTCACGGGGCCTGGGACTCACCCCACCCCACCGGGGCAGGAATTGAACCTCCTGTTCTGCCCGTCTCCCCCTCCAGGTTTTGACTGGACTGGACTTTAAAGCTCCTTTAGAAAATTTATATTCTTGTTTTTCTGTCAGTGATAATACATTAGAACCACCCAAAGGGCTAGTTAAACGCAGATTGTTTGGCCCCAACCACAGAGTTCCTGCTTAAGTAGGTCTAGGGGGGTGGGGACCGGTAATTTGCATTTCCAAATAGTTTCCACGTGATGCTGAGCTGTTGATTCGGGTACCACACTTGAAGATCACTGCTACACCATTCTTTCCTCACCACTCCCTTCCTCTCGAAATGGGGAGAGGCTCTCCTACAGGATTTCCCAAATACACTGGTTGTGCTGTCATTGCCAAGGTAGTTTCCCCTCTTTTGAAGGTAAGCTGTACAGAGTAGGAACTGGATTTTCTTGCCAGCGGCTCTAAACTTGAGACTGACCTACTACTGCGGAGGGCTTTCCTCCTAACTCAGTTGGTAAAGAATCTGCCTGCGGTGCAGGAGACCCGGGTTCGATTCCTGATTTGGGACGATCCCCTGGAGACGAAATGGCAACCCACTGCAGTATTCTTGAGAATCACAGGAATAGAGGAGCCTGGCAGGCTACAATCCATGGGGTCGCAGTAGTCGGACGATTTAGCGACTAAACCACCACCAATCCTAGTGTGAGTGGTGCTTGAGAAAGAGGCTGCAAAGAGATGAACCAGAGAAAGCCATAGTTCAGCTGGTCATTTCCCCACATTCAAAACCGGAGCCAGGGAGATGAGACCTGTCGCTCCAGCACAAATTCAAAAGGCAATCAAGTAGTTCCCTTCTGATATATTGACAATCTCCTGCCTGCTCTTATTTATAAATTTTTAATTTTTTCCCGTCCTATGTTCTTCATACTTTTATATCTTACTGAAGGACCTAAAAGCGTTAAAACAGTGCACAAGAACTAGATAAACAGAAAAGAGATAAGTATGAAACTTTATTTAAAAGCCACATTACTGTTGAAAATTTCTCTGATGCTTTAAAAAAGCATAATTGTTTTTTAAAGCTATGTATTTTGAATTATTAAATAATAATTAATCTGATTTTAAATGCATCCCCTGCCCTCTCAAATCTGATTTCTCAAAAAAAAAAATTTTTTTTTTTTAAATCTAGTGTGAAATATATTTTGACATTTCAATCCAGTTAGAGTTAGTTGAGGAAACTCCCCCAAAAAAGAGACATGCTAAAGTTTTCTTATCCCCAGTGGATGTTGTTAGTCATCTGATTTGAGCCTTGTAGTTTTCATTGTCAATACTTGGGTTCTCTCAAAGGAAAGAAAGTTGGGGACTTGCATTCACTGTTTTTCAAGAGGAGATTAAACACAAAATCGATTTAATGGAGCATCTGTAATCTTAAATACAAGAAGTCAAGAGCTAAGGCTGTAGTAGAAAGGTTAGCTTTTCTCCATTGTTCACACTCTCTAACTCATATTTTTGGAACTTAATTATCAATGAAAGCTGCTACATCGATGCAATACAGTATAGGCAAATTACAAGAACATTTTACTTCTTCCAACTGGGTTTAAATTGCAAATCTTAACAGTGAACTGTGTGCTTTTGGCATTGAATATTCAATACAGTGAAATGTGTTTTAAGTGAACCACCCAAGGACCCAGGAACATTTGCTTAATAATGATACTTTGCAATTCTATAGGGCCTTTCAGGCAAGGATCTCAAGTGGAATGCTCTTTAACTACACCCTGCATGGGAAACCTTGAGAATATTTTAAAGTGCTCGCTTAAGGCTTATTGGAAAGAATCCTTAGTATAGATTTCACAGTGTGGTTTTAAGAAATGAGGTACTGCAGAATTTTCAGTCTCAAGGGTATCATATTCATGGGGGTTTGGTGGTTACTGAATATTTGTTAGTTATTTTCTGTGAAGCTTAAAATGTATATATTTCCCCCCAACTTTTTATTTTGAAAAAATTTTAAACTTACAGAAAAGTTTGAATAATAGCACAATGAACCATTTCAGTGAACACCCATATTCCTTTCTTCTAGGTTAACATTGCTAACATTTTGTGACTATTGCTTAGATTCTTTCTTTCTCCCTGTACATATTGACATACTTTATCTATATAGGTAGACATCGATATAGTATAAAATTATTTGTTTTCTTGTTTGTTTATTCATGTACCTGCATTTAGTTCTGTAGTTCCTGTTTAACTTATGAGCATCATTAAACTTCACTCCTAAATGCTCCTCCTGATTCTCCTACCTAACTATAATGCCTATAAAGAATGTATTCTTATAGTTGATTTTTAAAAAGAATTCCATTGACCTTATTTTTGAGTTCAGAATTTTGTCAGTGTTGTCTATGAATTCTGTAAAGAGATTTAAGCCAATGCTGGCATAAGTGATCTAAAATACCTAGGTATCTTGGGAACTTAAGAACTCAATTAAATAATTGTTATAGAAACAATATATATTAAGTGTTTTGAAATCTAATTTCAAAAATAATTCAAGAAACAGAAAATCTTTTTAACATGCTTATGAAACAAGAGGAACATTTATATTTCAATCCAAGCCCATCCCCACCCCTCCACCCCCTGCTAAATTTAATCTGCTTTTACCTTAATTAATGTTTGATCTAAATTATCAGAATAATTGTCTTAATTATCCACTTCATTTTGCTAGCTAGTGTAGACTTGACCAAAGTGAAAATAGCATTGGCAGTTATGTACTTTGAGAAGTGTATGCAGACAATTTACATAATTTAGCCAAAATGGCCAATTAATTGGTGTAATTATGGATGTCTAGACTTGGCCTTTATTGGGTAGGCAGAAGTAAAACCACTCCTCTTTCCAATGGTTGTTCGCCTCTAGCTTGAAAGATCCATATTTTTCTTGTATTGAATATTTTTACATTCTTAATTTAAAATATTCTCATATTTTTATTATTTAGGCATGTTAATTAAGAGTAATTATCCAGAGACTATCAAGTGCATCTTCTTGCCTCTTACAAATCCTTGAATTATGACATAACTTAATGTGTGATTTATCCCACTTTTGGAAATGTATGTAATTACATATTTATCTCCATAGTGTTACTGCCTTATACTTAATATTCACTCATTAGCATTATTCTCTTTTCTAGGGAAAGTCAACTTCTAACTGCATGAAATTCCCAGAGCTTAAAGTCATTTTACAAATAAATGTTAATGAATTTCTGCAGTTTTTCAGGTGTGAAATTCATACAGCTTTATGTAAAAATTAGTGGGAACTTTAAATTTTTTATATACAATTACCTCCTTAGGTTAGAATCACTGCTACTTTGACTATTTAAATATAATGTTTTCTTTTATTCTTATGTAGCTCACATTTTAAAACATGTTTCAATAAAGTCTTAATCTTCTAAAGCTCTTTGTCAAGGCAAAGCAAAAGTACTGATGGCTGTGTTAATCCTACTAAGCAGAGAACTGCAGTATGATTAGTTTTAATGAGAACTTAAGCATCAGAAATGTACAACCTAAATTATAAAACATGTTTTTTGACAACTAGTAATGGTTATTGTCTCTGTCCATGGGAAATTTCTTAATGCTAGTCAATGAAGGCAATTGAGAATAAAAGTACTTTTATAGTTAATAGACTTGTACATACACTTGAAGAAGCTATACCTATAATGAATACTGACTTATAAATTGGGAAATTGACTTCTCTTTCTAGTTTCACTGGTTCTCTGTGTTGGTTAGAAGACATATCTAACTGATATGCTGAGTCTCAGTTTTTTCATTTCCAAAACAGGGATATTACTTGCCCTGCCAACTCCACAAGTTGGACAAGATGGCTCTGAGGCTCCAATGAGATAAGGTATATGAATCTTCCTATTTGCGGAGCTCCTACTGTAGGAAGAAAGGAAAACATAAGCAATAGATGCCTGATTTCAGATTATTTAGAGTACCTGAGTAGAAGAGCAAAAGAAGTTACTAGCACACATGTTAGAGAATATGTGTTTAATGACTTGTACAAATCATTACTGAGGGTCAATAGGGAGTTGCAAGAAGACAAAACCTAGGGGTCTTGAGTGGATTATAAGACAATAGCATGTAACAGATATGGAATATTCTGAAGATTAAAATTTTTATTTTTCAGATTTTTATATGTAAACCTAAGACAGATCTAGAGCTGCACTCATTATTTGATACATGTGATAAAGCTATAGATGGAACTGTAGCATATAATATATACCTGGCAATATAGATATATATATTATATATATATATATATAAAATTAAAAGGTAATTATGAGTTAGGGAAAAACCAGTTGTTGGTGTTTGCTTGTACTATTAGGTAAAATGGTATTCTGAGGCTTAATCAGTAAATATTGCCTTGTACCAGTATCTTATATATGTAAAAAAGGCAGCTGGCTTAAAAAAAATTTATTGAAGTAAATGGGGCTCCAAGACTGTCATTCTCTTTTGTTTGTCTGGGATGAGGTCCTGCCCACTTTGGGGCACTGGCTCTACATCTGTCATTCCATTTGCCAGTGAGTCTCAAAGTCAGGACACTACAGCTGTCCTGTTCTTTTCAGCCTTTTCTGTGATGGAAGAGATGAGATGACTGGCTGGCTGGTCAAGGCTTCATCACATATTCAGCAATTCTGTACAAGTACTATCCTGTAATTGTATTGTTCTCGCCTTTATTTGTGGAGCAGAACTTTTCACTCTGAAAGGTCATTGGAATGTTTATTTTACTATGTGTCCCTATTTAATTATTTTGCTTTGAGTTGTGTTTGTTAATAAAACAATGGTGTCAAACTGTTAGCCGTAATTTATGTTCTACCACGCACATGCATGCATTTGCATAGCCAGGAATAGTGAATGGAAGGGGAAAGAACACTGCAGTTGGAA